CCTTCCTTCTAGATGGATTGAGAGCCCCAAATTCAGTAAGAAAACTGTGCAAATACCATCACCTTATGACCACTTCATGTACACTAGTCTGTGGTAGTGAAGCAAAACCAGAAACATGCTTGTGTTGCATTATCTTGGGGTCTTCTTAGAGCAGTGTGCTGAGACACAAATTGAAGTGAATGCTTTATGGAAACAACTATATCAGAGCTCCATTGAGAGAAGTTGGGAGCCAGAGATAGTGCTGAAGTTGTCAGACATGAATACGAGTGTGCATCTTGTTCCATTTTGGGAGTTTGGGGTGTTTGTTTGTTTGTTTGTTTGTTTGAGACAGAAAATATGTATAGCCTGAGATGGCTTTGAACTCATTGTCCTACTGCCTCAACTTCCCTGATCCTGGAATTACAGATGTGTCTTTCTATCACTTTGATGTGATCAAAAGCAGTTTGGGGAGGAAAGGGTTTATTTCACTCATAGTTCCATATAACAGTTCATCATCAAAAGCAGTGAGGGCAGAAACTCAAGCCATGGCAGGAACCTAGAGGCAGGAACTGATGTAGAGGCATAGAGGGGTGCTGCTTACTGGCTTACTTGTCATGGCTCACTCAGCCTGCTTTCTCATAGCACCCAGGATCACCAGCCCAGAGATGAAGCCACTCACAATGGTCTGGGCCCTTCCCCATCAGTGACTAATTAAGAAAATCTCTACAGGCTTTCCTACAGTCAGATCTTATGGAGGGTAACCTTCTTAACTGAGGTTTCCTCTTCCCAGATGACTTTAGCTTGGTCCAAGTTGACATGAAACTACCCAGCACAAGGTGCCTGCCATTATGCCCAGCTTGGTTATTTATTTCAATGTAAGGGAATAAGTTGGTGTAATGGTTAATCTTGGTTGTCAACTTGATCGTGTCTAGGATCTTGGGTGGGTCTGTAAGGATATTTCCTAGAAGTATTAACTGAAGGAGAAGGCCCTCCCACAGAGTAGGCTACATCTTCCAGAGGTGGCCAGACATAAGGATGGGTGAAGGGAAAGCAATGCTGAGTTTCACTTGCCCACCTTTGCTCCTTGCTGGTAAGTGCGTCTACTCTGTTGCTGCCACTACTGTTGTCACCCTTTGCTGATTCTGGAATCCAGCTTTATCAGACTTCTAATACAAAAGAAAGGTTCTTCAGGAATCCTCCGAGCCTTCAACACTAAATTGAGACTGCCATGGCATCCAGTTTGAAGAAGTGAGCAACCACTGGGTTCTTTGCCTCTCTGGTGCACAGACAGCCATTGCTGAACAACCCAGACTGTGTCATGTACAACAACCTAATATATACCTTTTGTAATATTCATTCTGTCCATTCTGCTCCTTTAAAACCTTGAACAATTTCAGTAGATAAAAATGAGATGTTTCAAAGATACACAATGTAGTATGGGATTAAAAAAAATATCAGAAGTAAGCCAAGAAATGGTAGTGCATACCTTTAATCCCAGCACTCAGGAGGCAGAGGCAGTCAGATCTCTGTGAGTTAAAGTCTATCCTGGTCTACAATGCTAGTTCCAGAACAGCCAGGTCTACACAGAGAAAGAAACCTTATCTCAAAAAACAAAAAACAAAAAACAAAAAAACAAAACAAGGAAGGAAGGAAGGAAGGAAGGAAGGAAGGAAGGAAGGAAGGAAGGAAGGAAGGAAGGGAAGGGAAGGGAAGGAAGGGAAGGGAAGGAAAGAAAGAAAAAGAAAGAAAGAAAGAAAGAAAGAAAGAAAGAAAGAAAGAAAGAAAGAAAAGAAAGAAAAGAAAGAAAATACCAGGAGGAAAATCTAACCAACATTATAAGATGTCTTTCTTTTTTTTCATTCAGATAGCATTATAATGTGAGCAACTCAAACTCTGGGTAATGCTGACGTCTTGGCATCCCAGGACTTAGGACAGGAAGAGGAGACCATCATATCACAGAGAACTCAGTAGGTGAGATGGTAAGTGAGGAGTATTGGTAGGACTGCTGTTATTAAATATGGGTAGGAAGTCCAAGGCCAGAGTCTATGCTCAATGTAAAACGGACATGTTTCTAACAACTGTTGGTGGCAAGAGGTCCCTCCTAGTGGGTAAGGGATCCTAGAGGTGATCCAACTTGGTAGTAAAAGAGATGTAGTAGGACTCTAAGCTCTACCTTTACATGGTGTAACTGCTGCCAGTAATGAGATGGGCACTCTTTGTTTCCATTGTGTGCAGATGTTTCCCGTTCCCAGAATTTGCCATGTTCTCTGCTCTTTGCTGTTCCTTTTGCCCAGAATCCTCTCCACACTATCCCTCTCTAGTCTAATAACTATTACAGCATTCCAACTGCTGACTAATACACCTGTCTTCCTCCACTAAGCTCCATGAGCATGGGGCTTCCCTGTCTTATTAGCCATGTTATCTCCAGTGGTTAGTTTAATGCTCAACACATAGCAGCTGCAAAATAAGTATTTGAATGAGTAAGTGAATGAATGAATGAATGAATGAATGAATGAATGGGCAAACCAAAAAGAAAAATGTTAGAATGGCCTCAGGTCTATGGGCTGGAACTTTAGTCAACATCTAGAATAAGTTCTCTCCATTATAGAAGAGAGCAAGGGTCACGTTTGGGATATCCAAAGACCTGTGATCAACAATGGGGGAAGCAAAAGTTACTGTGATGATTCAAAGTACCCAAGAGACCAAGAAAAGTCACACACAAAAAAGAGACTTATAAGTGAGGTGGGAATTTAGCTCTAACGACTAATGCTCCTGCATGTGGAAGGTACTAGGTGTCATTCCTAGCTCTGCTCTTAGATTGTTAGTAAATGTCCCTATCCCTGTTAAGGTGATCCATGATGTGGACACTGGTCCTTTGGGAGTCCTCCTATATGTTCCTGATAAGTAGTTAGGGACAGAAAGAAGGTGATAATCAGTAAGAGAAACCATAGAGGTTTTCAATGTTACCTTTATCTAATGAAGCCAAAATGCTAAAGATTCTGAGGATAAAACCTGAAACATCATCAAATTGTTTGAAGATCTACAATGAAGCTGTCACCAGCAAAGATTAGGATGATACTGTTGTCTTAATCTTCGATCTGCAGCTTCACCACTGACTCTCAGTTAATGAAGTCTCCAAGCTTCAGTTTCCATAGCTGCTGATGGTAATACATACACAGAACCTCAGAAAGGGCTGGAATGCAGTGGACTCACCAAGTTGTCCCTGCTATAAGTGTGGCACCAGGACCCAGGCTTCAGGGAATGTGTATGGGGTCCAATGTCTGAAGGGTATGCATGTCACTCCTTGTGCCCATTCCTCCCCATCCTACCACACACATACCTTCTCAACTCCAGTAGGTCCTCATAAGTGTTGTTCAAATAAAGGACATTCTGCTAACCATAAACCAAGAGCCCTCCAGACCTCTGAGAATGTGTCCCACACACTAAATCAATAGAGACACACATCCACATGTTTGAGCTAATTCCAAAATTAGAGCCAGGACATCAGGGACCATATTTTGCTGGGAATCTCTCATAGCTATCAGTTCTTAATGTCTCCACACATTAGAATCATCTGGAATCCATCTTTCAAGAAACAACTCTCACATGCCAGTCTTTGCCACAGTGGGTGGCTCTTGACCCTCAACTCTGGCTGTCCTCTAAGGCTATCTGGGTGATGCTGTGCTTTTTGTTCAGGTTGTGTTGTTGTTTTAACTCGGGTGCTTCAGCTCCACCACTAATATTTCTATTTAATTGGTCTGGAAAGGAGGCTACATCAATTTCTTGAAAGACCTTCCCTGCTTTATTGATTTTCTTTGAATGCAGACAGGGATGAGAAGCAGAGTGCTGTGTAGGGAGTGTTGCCATGAAAGATCAGATAGAGTCTCAGCAAGGAGCACCTTCGTGGAGGGCATCATGCAACAGGAGGTTTAACATCTCCCTTGCCTGTCGTTATGACAAACCTGCACAAATAGCAGATGTGGTCCATCTGTCTAAAATAGGATGTACTAGCAACATGTTATGTTTGTCCTATGAACATGTATGTAAATGTGTATTTTCCATTTCCCCTTCTTAAAATTGTCCTCGAGTCTGGTTCTATTTGCATAAGGACAAGAACCAAATTGGAACATGCTACTCATAGGGGCATGATTTGTGCTCTAGCTTCACTCAGGGGTTAACTATTCTAAATATGTACTTGCAGACAGGCATAGCAAAATTTATTATATTTCTTGTTCATTTTTGGTGTATGAGTGCATTTGTATATATGTATGCATGGTCACATGTTTGCATGTGTTTTCTACATATGTGGTTGTATGCTTGTGTGCATGTTGGGGTACACTTATATATGCAGGTGTGTGCATGAACATCTGTGCACATGCATGGGAAGGTTAGAGAACAACCTCAGGTGTCATACCTCAGGTGCCTCCCCATCTGTTTTTAGAGGGTCCCTCGTGGTGTGAAACTTGGTCAAGTAGGCTAGTCTGGCCAGCCAGAAAGTTTCCAGGACCTGTCTTAGCTGTCTCTGCCTCCTATCTTCCCATACCTGGAATTACAAGCTCACACCACTGTCCTGGGCTTTCACATGGCTCTTGAGAGTCTAAACTCAGGCCCTTGAACTTACAAAGTAAGGGCTTTACTGAGTGAATCACCTCCTGAGCCCATTTCTTGTGAAAGCTATGGGGGAAAGCACAAGACTTAAGAGGAATTCTGTGCTTTTAGCAGGCACTCTAGGCTCTGACCCAAGACTCTAGCAGGCTGTAGTCATTCTCCCTCTGGCCGTAGGATTAGCAGAGGAAAGGTTTGAGAAGCAATGGAATCATTTGAAATGGGACACCCTGGCTTGTCTTGCTTTCAGATCCTAGGCAGCTGGAGCATCCTGGCTAATCTCAAATGCTAGAAATAATGTGCTATTTGTCACTTCAGTCCCAGCCAAGGGTCACACAGGAGCTAAAATAAATTCTAAAAGCCGTTTTCATGAGTGGCTTAACTTTATTCACATGAGAACTCAAGGGACTGGCAAAGACTTCCGTGTACATTTCTTCTGAAGGGTTGAGTTAGTTCGGTGGCAGACAGGGTGGGTTGGGGGATGTGTGTTGACACAGACCAGACATTGTTGTTGCTCTGCATCATCAGGAATACAGTTTAATTTTAACCTGGTGGCCTGAATCGTGCATTTACTAGGGAACAAGCCTAAGGCTCACTGGCTAACAAGCTTTTGGCAGCCCACAAGGACAGCATCTTTAGAAAACACACAACAGTGTCAGGCATCGTGAGTGCGGGTCAGAGATGGTGTGGTACCAAGAATAGCATCCCATGACAGTAACAGCAGTGGAAGCTCGGGGCACACAGCAGTCACTCCCAGAAGTGCAGCATGGCCCCTCAGTATTGGTAGGACCTCACGAGAAGCCACATAAGGAGAACGGTGATCAGGACAACTGTGAAGTTGAGAAATAGCTCCTGGGTAGACCGCTCCATCTTCTGAGTGAGAACTCCAGGCAGACTTCTGAGAGCACACCAAGAACCTCCGGCTTGTCCTTGCTTCCTAACAAAATAAGAAAGACAACATGGGAGATAAGTGAGCGTGCCCGGAAGCTGTCCAGTCTTCCTTCAGAGAAAAATGAAGTATTTGTGCTGACTTCTCCAACCCTTCCCCCCAAACTTACACATTGAAATCCTATTCCCCAAGACCTAAGAATGTGACTGTGTTTAGAGATGGGGTCTTCCCAGAGGTAATTAAGCTAATATGCGGTCACTGTCATAGTTAGCTTCAGCATCAACTTGATATAAACCTAGAACCAGCTGGGGAAAAGGACCTCAACTGAATAATTCCTCCCATATTAGGAGGCTCACAACTGCCTAGAAGTCTAGCTCTGGTGAGATCTGATGCCTCTGATCTCCTTGGGCACCTACATTTATGTACACATACCCCCCCACACACACAAACAAATGCATATAATTAAAATAATAAGAATAAATATTAAACAATAAAAATAAATCTTTAAAAAGAAAACATAAGGTAAAACTGAAAGGTAATTGAGCAAGCCAGAGGAAGCAAGTCAATAACCAGCACAGTCTCTGCTCCACTTGCTGCCTCCGAGTTCCTGCCCTGAGACACTGCTGTGGCTTTCCTCCAGGATGGACTATACCTGTAAGTTACAAATAACCCTTTCACCTCAAGTTGTTTTTGGTCAGTGTTTTACCACGGGAAGAGAAGCAAACTAGATCAGTTACTAGTGGGCACTAATTCAGTATGACTGATGTCTGAAGGAGAGGAGGTTAGGACACAGACCCATTACAGAGGGAAGACATTGCAGAAACAGAAATGATGGCCATTCTCAGTCCAAGGAGAAAAGCCTTGAAGGAACCAGCCTTGCTGATACCCTGGTCCCCAACATGTGACCTCAGATTTCATTTGAAGTTAAGTTTCCACTCCTCTCTGAGGCTACAGCCTGGCAACTTACCTTGAGTATTTTGAACTTGCCAACCTTCAAATGATATGAATCAATTTCTCAAACATACACAGACAGACAGACAGACAGACAGACAGAGTTATCTGGGCTTCTCTGAAGAGCATGGATGCATACAAATAGCCTAGTTTCTCTTCCTGCTGTCATCCTAAGACCAATGTTTTTATCCTGTATTAATTGCATTGTTTTAGGTAAGTAATAAAATATTGCATTTTTCTCTCTTCATCTTCATGTCATGTGTTAACTTTGCTGTTTGGAGTATCTGCAAGCAGGGACACCAAAACAGGGGAAAAATATAGTTTAGTATTGCTCTTTCTTTGGATCACATATAACATCATCGTTCAGATTTAAAACTGCCCTAGGTCTTCATCCAACCCTGGTGAAAGAATAAAGTAGCTCCAACAGCTGCATGGCTTTGTACAAGCCTACTCTGGCACAAAGCCTGTAGAGGTCAACTAGAAGTCCCTCGCACAACAGGTACTCAATCCAAAGAACAAGTGTTAACCTCATGAGCATTTCTGTTTCAACAAGAGCTTGTGCCAGCTATTTTTAGTCAAGCTCAGGATGTGCCTAGATTGTAAACATTTCAGACAGCAGAGATGGTATCTTTAGCATGCATACAGATTGTACGTGCAGGAAAGTCTACTCCAAGATCATAGGCAATGTTATCAATCAGATTACTAATTTTGGTGAAGTAGTGAAACAGATGCTTGGTTTATACAATCAAAATAAATTTTAAAACTCCTGTATTTTAGATAATTTAAGTAGATTATATTGCAGCTCAAAATTCTATCATGGGAGCAAAAACTTTAAATGGAAAGGGTACTTACTGGTTTGCAAAAGATCAAATCTCAAGAGACCAAATCTTTGTAGCAACCTTCTGGCCTGACTGAATTAACTATAACTGTTATGTTTGTTGTATCATCAATGTACCAAATTATTAATTGCATAGATACCAAAAGAACAACCAGCTTTTGTTATGTAATTATTAGTATAATATACAGGTTCATACTATATTATGCCAATGAACAGATTACAGAAACTCATTTTAAAATGTAGCAAATGACGATTGATTTATGTTTCGTTTCCTTTTGATTCTTAATTTTTATTACATTTATTTAATCTTTGTATTTGGAGCAAGGACACGTGTGTGTCACAGTATACCGGGGAGGTCAGAGAACAACTTTCGGGAGTTGGTTCTTTCTTCCTACCTGGGGTACCTGGGGGTTGAATTCAAGTTATCAACCTTGGCAGCAAGTGCTTTTATCTGTTGAACCATCTTGCCAGCCCCTCCCCTTTTCATTCTTATCCCTCCTTCAGCCCTTAGCATGATGTATATTGTCAATTGCCAGTGAAAATCTTTACACACAGTTCCCTGGAGTAGAGAATAAGCAGAAGAAAATGAGTAACAGGAGAACAGAATGTCCCTGAGTGTTCAGAAGAGCAGAGCAGAAAGAGGGGAGCATGTTAGAGAAAGCTTAGGAATACTGAATATGGCCCCACAGGGCTACAAACTAGAAAGAACTGGTTACCTGACATAGAATGGATGTGAATTGTGCTATTCACATACTTTAGAATGCTGTGGAGTAAAGAAAATGCATGACATCCTCTAGCTACCCATCGCAAGGTGGATGGATCTCACAGCATAACAGTGGGATGAAAGGAGGATTTACAAGAGTAGCAGAGAATGTGACTCCATTTACACAAAGTCAAGAGCAGGGAGCTTAATGGTGCTGCTTAGGGACACAGACACAGCGGCAAAAGTTTAAAACAAAGGACAGACAAGCTCCACACTTGGAGACAGAAACAGAAGGGAAATAATTAGGAATGGGCTTCTGGGGTACCGCCAATAATGTGTTTCTTGGTAAATGATAGTTTTTTTTTTTTTCCCGTGTTTCTTGTAATTCATTTTTTAACTTCTTGCATCTTTTTGCACTCTTTGCATTTTTTCTAGCCTCTCTGAATTATTGACAGGCTGAGCACACACTTCTCTTTCCTGTGGCTTAGCCTTCACTACGTCTTGTACTTTGATGGCAACCTTAAACATTCGTTGTTTTGCGTATCTTTAAAGGAATAAAACACCAATCCAATGAACTCCCAATGGGTGCAATTCTAACAAGGCTTAGGACAACTAAAGGCTGTCCATACTCTTCAGGAAGAATGAGCAAAGTTAGACAGTTATTCAGTTGTCACTATTCTATTTCTCTCCTATGAGCCCACACAACAGCTTCGACTATCTCTTATGCCTTCTCTATGAGGCAAAATGGTTGTCCCATGTGTGAACCAAAGCCTTACAAACAAGGAGAAAATTGTACAAGAAGTTTGACATTGGTTTCCTTCTGTGATATGGGAAAAATGTGAAACTAGAAAAAGAGAAAAATACATACCTGAGAAAAACAGGAATAGTTATTCACTTCACAGCTTAAGAAATGCTCTATATTATGGTTACCTGTTCCATCGGGAAATGTAAGCATTTAGTTAATATTTTTATTTGAAAATTGCATACACAGAGAGATAGAGAAACATCAAGATTGCTAAGTACAAAATCCTGTTGTTACCTGAAGAGGGACAAGGACACACCCAGGCTGCTATAGACTTCTCCTCGCTCTCTCCAACTCCAGCTGTCTCCCCTGCTGTCTGAGCTCCTGGACTCTGTGCAGGGCCTAAAGTAGTCTGAGGGAGGTGGCAGTCACTGTGATGTCACTGATGAAACATCTCAAAGAGAAAGAGACGAGCTCCAGAGGTTCCAGCCTATTGGTGTTCAGGGGGACATGGAAATATGATGACTAAGGCTTTGCTCCTTAGGCTGCCAATTTGAATTCATGACACAGGTTCATGAAAATTCTTGCTCCCAGCTGACTTTTGGTGCAATGATATGGGATTTAAAGGCATTTTCTACCACTTTATAAATGACTCTACCACATCTAAAGAGCTGCAAGAGCAAGAGACAAATTTTAACGAATTGCTCCATGTAGCTGTCTTCACTACTCAACACATGAAGTTGTAAAATATGATTTCATTTCATCACCCATATCTTTAGCTGTTTGAAGCATGAAGAGTTCTCTGCCTTGTACCCACACTCCTCACACCATATCACAGAATACTGTGAATTCTCCTTCAAAACTGACTTTTGTTCCAGCAGTGGAAGTTAGCCCCACCCCATCACCTGCTACACATAACTTTCCAGCAAAGTGATGCACAGAGTTCACTCGATCAGCTGGTTTCTCTCTAAAACAGCTGTGGAAGCCACAGCTTGTATCTACGTCAGTTAAACTAGCATAGCAGTAAAACAGACAACAAAATCCAGTCGTCTGGCTAAAGGGGTGTTGGAAATAGATCTAGTCCAAACCAGTGAGAATGTGAGATCTAGACTAGATAGAAATATCTGGAATATATGGGGTTTCTTTTCCCTTTGTGCTGTATTTTATTTATAGGGATATTTGCCTGCATGGACACATGTGTGCCCTGGGAGGCTGGAAGACAGCATCGTCAAATCCCGGACAATTGTGAGCCACCATGTGGATATTGGGATTTGAACCCGAGACCAGTGGCAGAACATCTAGTGTTCTTAACCCCTGAGCCATCTCACCAGCCCATAGAGTTTATCTTAGAGGAATAAAACAACACAATTTTCAACCACAGACACTGGCTCAAATCAGACACAGATGAATTTGTAACAGATCAGATGTTGAGAGGTAAGTGGCGCCTCTAGTGTGTTTAAATGGGCTTGAAAATCATCAGTTAAGGAATTTAAATGTGACTTCAGTAATTGTGCTGCTCAGTAGATCCTGTCCTTAAAGATAACAGGGTAAATCTCCCCTAATAGCTCCCAGTTAGAGTCAATAAAAACAAGGCATTTCCAGAAGGCAGGAGCAAACACACTTCCCTGCAAACTTGTATTTGTGGTCAAGCCTTTCTCGCCACTCCCACCTCCCCAGGGGCACTAAGAGAAGGATTTTCCATTCCATTTTTTCATTTCAACATAAGCCCATCGAGGGGTAATCTAATTACAACATTCTGTCGCCACTTGTCTTGTAAAACGATAGCTTGCTGAAGTGACAGATAGAGAAT